CAGCTGAGTCAAAACATGTGTTACATATTCAGATATTTTTACTATACAGATTTTGGATTTAAATAAAGTTAATCGTTTTGAAACTCTTTTCCTTTAAAGTCGTAGCACGCCAAAAGGCATATTTTGATTTTTAGTTGGATAAGACATGAAAAGTAAATAAAAATAAGTACAGTAGGCGGGGATCAAAATACGGGGCGCGGAGACAGAATGGCACAGTCACAGACAGAGGCGTATTCAAGGGGAGAGGCTATGGGGGCTAAGCCAAACCAGTGAAAACTTTTGATTTCAAGGGGGTTTTGCATATGGATGTCATTCTGCGTATCAGCAGCCTCCGGCGGTCATTTTGCAAGGCTCACGGCGGCTCTGCATCTCCTCACTCGTCCTGTCCCATTTTATATTAATTTAAAAATAGTTTCCAACTTTTTCTTTACTTTGCAGATTACTGTGATTGAACAGAAACAAATCAACAGTCCTCAAATTAAGTTAAAACTAATTTTTCAACGTATTTCTACTCCATAAAAAATTAAGAGAATTATCAGAATTAAACATTTTTGAAGATACAAAATGGCAATATCTTCCGATCAATGTTTAAAGGGTATGAATTGGGCAGGGACCTCTCTATAGAAGAGATCACTTTTATTATAAATAAAAAAGACTTTTCCTTTAATTTGATAGAACAACTGCTCCTAAACAAAGACGGATATCTCTACATTAAAACCTTTTCTTTGAAATACATTATTGTTAAAACTCTTATTTTTCAACTTTTAAAAGTAATTAGAGTGTCTTTTCGGTAATTTTTTATATTAAACAAAAATATTTTTCTTTTAAATCCTGCAAAGCACTGTCACATAAATCTTCACTGAAAATCTAAAAATTCAATATCAAGATATTTTAATTTTCAGAGAAAAAGATCTTTTCTCCTTTTAAATGTTAGTTAGATATTTTGAGCAGAAAGGGACTGGAAACGTATTTATTAAGTTAGATATTTTGAGCAGAAAGGGACTGGAAACGTATTTATTAAGTGACCCTAATAGAGTCACATGTCCGATTCACAAGGGTATCCTTGAAAATAAAATAGATATCAATTTTTTATATCTACTGAGTATTTTCGTTTGAGGTTTGGGGTTTCAAGGGTACTGTTGTGAATCCTATATGTTCATTCTTAATTGCACACAATTTTACCTCACAACAAAACCAGATTTTTAAGCCGTCGATGATCTAAGAAAGAATCAAATCTAGTTTTTAGCCTTATAAAAGCCGTGTTAGAAATAAGTTTAAAGTCTAGTCTTTTTCTAAATCTGAAGAATTTGATTTCGATTTATTTTGTTTAAGGTTTAGAGTAAATCAAATAGATTCTAGTACAGTAGAAGGCAACAAAGAATTTTTACACTCCCAGCCCAGTGCAGTTGTGTTCTTACGTCACAAGTGTCAACTCAGTTTTAGTGTCCGACAAAATTATTAATAATAGTGATAATTTTAAAATAAAGTGTTCACCTTACAGTAACTAAGTGCAATTTTTTTAAATTCTTTATTTTCTGTTTTTACACATTTTTATTTAATCTTGGAAAAAAGGTCAACTTCATTTTCCTTGTTATATTTGACACTTGTGACGTCGTGTAAAATTGTTCCTTTTCTCTGTTGCCACATGAGTGGGAAAGGCAAGCCGCACTCGTATAGCCTCCATCCTGCAAATTACTCACAAACATAGAGTTGTGGCAACGCGCTCACCCATAGCGCTTCCTTAGCCGCACTCCATATATCCTCATGCAAAATGAATTTACTATTGCTTACTGCAGAAAAATTCAGCGTTAATTTAAGATTTTAAAGACGTCATGGCATCTATTTTAACCTAAACATAGTAATCATATGGTTTCGGAAGTATGAGTAAACTTTCGTGCTGCCTGGGGCAATAGTTATTACATTTTTGTTAAAAACTATGATTTATTTCGATTTTCTCCCAAAATCAGGGACATATATAGCTAGATGGGGCGATGGGACATTCGCCCCGTCCCCCCCCTGAATTTGGAATTTTTTGTTCCTATTTTCAGAATAGCTTCTCAATAGCATGTTTAAGGGAAAGAAACCCTAGCGATAAACAGGAAAAAAATCTGTCTTAATAAACTATAATATGTGAAAAGTTAAAAATCTAGTTTTTTAGTCTTTAGTCATTAATTTTGACTCTTTTTGAGTGTTTTAAGCCAAAAAAAATTTTCCCTGGGTCACGATTTTTTGTTCCTAATCATGATTTTTTTGTTCCTAAAAAATCTTGCCTCCCCCCTCACTTAAATCCTGTATCCGCCCCTGCGGCCAAAATGTAATATTTTGTACATGTCTACTGATGTTGATCTTCCTTAAACATTTTTTGAAGGTAAGGAGAAATTGAATGTTTAACAATAATATAACACAGTTTCGGGTACGATTCGGTTTTAAATTATCTAAAATCAGATAGGTAGATGATAGATAGATATATGTAGACAATATTAAACCGAATATTAAACTGGGTTATATCAGGTGAAAATTAAATGTGTCTCTTTCTTCAAAAACATTTTAAGAGAAGATCAAGATTAGCAGGCATGTACAAAATATTATATTTTAGGAGAAAATCGCAAGACATTTTGCCGGAGGATATAGGGGTTCGGCTAAAGATCAGAGCTACGGGTGAGGGAGTTGCCTCAACTCTATGTTTGTGAGTAAATTGCGGGATGGAGCCTATACAGGTGTGGCTTGCCTTCCTCCCCACCCCCCACCTATTGTACTTGATACTCTAGTTGAAGTAAATCGATTCGAGTCTTTATCTCCCATCCCCGGCCCCACCACACCACCCTTTCCCCCTTTTCTTACCTGGGTTAGCTGAAACTCCTTCTCCTCGGCATATTGCATACTGCTACATATGCAATTTTGATAAATATTCCGCCGTAGAGGTCACTGAGTCTGCAGAAAACTGAGAGAAAACAGGATTCTGCTCTTTTTCTTTTAGACTATATATAAACTTCATGCTAGTGCCATCTAGTGTAAGAAATGTTTATAAAAGCTACCAAATTCTGCTTGTACTTAAGTACACCTATCTCTCTATATCTATGTTTAAGGCTGTATGCTCTCCGTACCAGTATTTGGGCCGAGGAACTAAATGGTCTCACTGTTCTCTTCTCATGGCTTATGTAGTTCCTAGCTTCGTTCTAGCTATAGTTTTCAATATACCCAGGTATACACAGGGGCGAATGCAGGAATATTGTTCTCAATATACCCAGCTATACACAGTGGCGGATACGGATAGATAGTTCTCAATATATCCAGGTATGTTCAGGGGCAGATACGGTTAGATAGTTCTTAATATATCCAGGTATACACAGTGGCAGATACGGGTAGATATTTCTCAATATACCCAGGTATATTCAGGGGCGGATACGGTTAGATAGTTTTCAATATACCCATGTATATTCAGGGGCGGATACGGTTAGATAGTTTTCAATATATCCAGGCTACACAACGGCGGATAATGTTAGATAGTTCTCAATATACCCAGGTATATTCAGGGGCGGATACGGTTAGATAGTTTTCAATATACCCATGTATATTCAGGGGCGGATACGGTTAGATAGTTTTCAATATATCCAGGCTACACAACGGCGGATAATGTTAGATAGTTCTCAATATACCCAGGTATACACTGGGGCGGATACGGATAGATAGTTTTCAATATATCCAGGTTTACACAAAGGCGGATACGGTTAGATAGCTCATAATATAAACAGGTATATTCAGGGGCGGATACAGATAGATTATTCTCAATATACACAGAGGCGGACACAGATAGATTATTCTCAATATACACAGGGGCGGATACAGATAGATTATTCTCAATATACACAGGGGCGGACACAGATAGAAAGTTCTCAGTATACCCAGGTATACACAGGGGCAGATACGGTTAGATAGTTCTCAACATACCCAGGTATAAACACGGGCAGATACGTGAAGATAATTCTCAATATATCCAGGTATATTCAGGGGTGGATACGGTTAGATAGTTCTCAATATACCCAGGTCTTAATATACTTTATTATTGCCACTACATTACATTTTCTTATCTTTGTTAACGACCGTTAGCGACAGTTAAAACCCTTTAACAACCATTTTTTGTTAACGATCGTTAACGACGTAAATTTGCTAATACCTTAGTAGTTAGTTATACTTCTAACTAAATATATTTAAAATAATTGAAAACATTAAAATGAGAAACAGGTTAATATTAATTGCAAGAGAGGGATTGACTTAAACCTCCCGCAAGGAAGGAATGCTTTCAACTTATTCGAATAGATGAACACTAAAAGTTTTGTACATTATAATGTTAGATTATAACATAGCTTTCAAAAGTATTTAGTTTCATATATTACATGTGTTTGTTTTGTAATCTGGGTTTCACATTTTATCGGTGAAAAAAAACCAAAGCATTGTTTTAAATAGTTTTGAAAAGCAAATTTGCACAACTTCTTCTGTAAGACTCAGTAAGAGATAAAGCATTGCATGCTATTTTTCTATTGTATTTCTATAGGACATCTATACTCACTATTCAATTATCTTTTACATTAAAGCCTGAGTACCCTTTAATTGGGAGTAATTGTGCAGAGAATCCGCGGTTTCAGTAAAGCACAATTAGTAAATTAATTTTTATTTTAAAAATGCCAATTGTCTTGTTCTAATATGTTCTTTTAAGGTAAATTGTCAAATTGTATGAAACCAAATCTAATCATGCATATTTTTTAAATTTCTATTTTTATAAAGGTTGTCGTTCAAATCAAAAAAAAAAACTTTTAAGATTTGTAGATTTATAATTTTTGTTTTCTAGATTCATGGTGAGCTACTCAAGCAGTAGCATCAGTCTTCCATTCCTCAAGGCAGTTATTCGTTACCAGGTAAATAAACGTGGTATACATTACCAGGTATAGAATCCTGGTATCCGTTACCAGGTATAGAAACCTGTTATTCGTTACCAGGTAAATAAACGTGGTACACATTACCAGGTATAGAATCCTGGTATCCATTACCAGGTATAGAAACCTGTCATTTGTTGCCAGGATTAGAAACCTGGTATTTATTACCAGGAATAGAAACCTGGTGTACTACACTACCAGGTATGGAAGAAACCTGGTATTAGTTACCAGGTATAGAAACTTGGTATCCATTACCAGGTATATAAATCTGGTATCAATTACCAGGTATAGAAAACTGGTATTCGTTGCAAGGTATGGAAACCTGGTATCAGTTACCGGGTATAGAAACCTGTTATTAGTCATCAAGTATTGAAACCTGGTATACATTACCAAGAATAGAAACCTGGTATTCATTACCAGGTATAAAAACCTGGAATTTGTTATCAGGTATATGAACCTGGTATTTGTTAACAGGAAAAGAAACCTGGTATTGGTTATCAAGTATAGAAACATGGTATCCATTGCCAGGTATAGAAAGCTGACATCCATTACCAGGTTTAAAAACCTGGTATTTATTACCAGGTATAAAAACCTGGTATTCGTTGCCAGGTATAGAAACCTGTATTATTTACCAAGCATAGAAACCTGGTACGGTATTAGTCACCAAGTATAGAAACCTGGTAAACATTTTCAGGTATAGAAACCTGGTATTCATTACCAGGTATAGAAACCTGGTAATCAAGTTATAGAAACCTGGTGTTCATTACCTGGTCTAGAAACCTGCTATCTATTACCAGGTATTTAAACCTGGTATTAGTTACCAGTTATAGAAACCTGGTATTAGTTACCAGGTATAAAAACCTGGTATTAGTCACCAAGTATAGAAACCTGGTAAACATTTTCAGGTATATAAACCTGGTATTCATTACCAGGCATAGAAACCTTGTATTCATTACCAGGTATAGAAACCTGGTATTCGTTACCAGGTATAGAAACCTGGTAATCAAGTTTAGAAACCTGGTGTTCATTACCAGGTATAGAAACCTGGTATAGAAACCTGGTTTTCGTTACCATATATAGAAGCCTGGTATTCGTTACAAGGTATAGAAACCTGATATATGTTACCAGGTATAGAAACCTGGTATTAGTTACCAAGTATTGAAGCCTGGTATTCGGTACCTGGCATGGAAACCTGGTGTTAGTTACCAGGTATAGAAACCTAGTATCCATTAAAAGATCTAAAAATACAATGTTTTTCAGTAAATAAAAAGAAATATATAAGAGATAAAGATAAATAAATAATGTATTCCTAATTCTTTATCAGGAATCTGAGGTTATATTTTAAATTATATTAGTCTCAAGGCTAAACTACAAAACTGACATCTATTCGGTTAGAATTTAGACTTAGTGGTTTTGACTATGGCTGAAGAAGTTTTAAAATCGAAATCGGTACCCAAAAATGTCAATATGCCTTATCTTTATTTTAATAAATATCTTTGCTCAAACATATACATATATATATATTATACAGATGTTTCATCCTCTCTCTACAACTGGACTAATCCCCTTGGCTATTCTAGGTAAATCATATTGGTGTTTATTATTTTATTAGATTTATTCACATATATTACATATATTAATTATGTCGTGTAAAAATTTGTTTTGTTCAAATATAGGAATGATATTAAAAGTATTGATATTTAATATTCATTGTGCTTCTTCAAATTCATTGTTATAACCTCTAATTTTATAAACTTGACAAATTTTAGTGAGAAAAAAAGAAAATGTAAGCAATTATTTAGAACAAGTCCGCTTTGAATCCATAAAAAAAAATCCAACTGCATATAGACTTTTCAGCACATGCTCGATGTTTCATAGTCAAAGATTAGTTAACAATAACAGATAGAACACTAGATGTTGTCTTTTCAAGATTTAGCGGTTTTACGTTCACATCAACCCGGAGGCAGAAGCCCAAAGTATTTACGTGCATGCAGCGTTTAGAACAGGCTCTCGCTCTGTCCTGTAATTCTACTCAACAGGACATCTTGTATTCTATCTGTTGTTAATTTATCTATGTTTCTAGTAGGCTTGACATCCACAATAATCAAAGGGTGAAAGCCAATTCTCGATGTTGCTGGTAGACTTGACGTCCACATTCCACACTTATTAAAGGGTCTAACCCCATTTTGTTTAAGTAGACTTTTGAATTTTTCATTAATCAAAGGGAAACCCAGTCTCGTTTCTAGTAAACTTGACATCCACACTAATCATATTAAATCCAAATCTACTAATATATAATATTAAATCCAAATCTACTGATATATAATATTAAATCCAAATCTACTAATATATAATATTAAATCCAAATCTACTAATAAATAATATTAAATCCAAATCTACTAATATATAATATTAAATCCAAATCTACTAATATATAATATTAAATCCAAATCTACTAATATATAATATCCAAAGCTACTAATATAAAATATCCAAAGCTAATAATATATAATATTAAATCCAAAAGTTCGTTTAATTTCTCCTAAACTAATGAAACGATTTACAAAATATCATGTTTTGAAGAGCAAGCTTTATTTAAATAAAATAAAGCTTATTTTAACCACTAGGAAGGTGGTTGCTGTTTAGCTTGTACACTATTTAGAATTTTAAAACTAATAAATTCTTAATTTTACAATTAAGATTCATTTTTTAAAAATATTTTCGAAACAAACGATGTTATGCGATTGGCACTCTTGTATATCGAGTCCATTAGCTCCTGATCCAATCAGGGTTTCTATCTAGCTCATTATCCAATTAGAGAGAAATTTTTATTTCGGCGCTATAAAAGTAAATGGAAATATCTACTTCTACTGAAACTATATTGATTGGATAAGGGAATAATGAAATAATCGACGTTTTCAAAAATGACTGTCTGGCAATTTGGCAAAAGTGTTTGTCTGCGTTATTATCTTATTTTTGATTTGACATTGTACCAAGTTTGTACTCAATCGCACAGGTCGGCCAATATTAGAAAAAAGGAAGAGACATTAAGACTCTAAACAAAGTGGTTACAAATGTACTGAAACTGGTGTTATATTCGGCCGGCGCAATTAAGAATTTCTTTTTGATGTAAAACATAAATGTAATTTTGATGAAATATCTTTTGAAAAAAGTTCTCAACTTACTCTTTATTGGTATACAAAATACACCGTATTCTTTTGTAACCAATTTTAACTAATGTATTAAAAAATAAATGGGTGAGAAATTAAGTGAAGGCCCTTCATGTCAAAAAACTAACCAATATGTCGTTCTTAGACCCCAACTTGTTCATCTAAATATTTAAACATAATCTCGAGATTATGTTAGTCTCAACTTTAGCAAAAACAGAGGATAAAGCATTAATTCTGATATCCACCATTCTAAAGTTCCCAGCTCTGTATTGATAACCCAAATAATAGTAAAAAACATAAGATGAAAAGATTATGATAAAAAAATAGTTCATTTCGTTAATTTACTGATCCATGATCAGGATTATTTAATTAAAAAGTATCAAAAGAAAGTTTTTTTAATCGGAATAAAAACCACTTGAATCCATGATTTAAAGTTTTGTTTAAAGTATCTAATATCAGAAATATAATGCTATAATTAAAAACTTTAATCTGCGTGGGTTGGAAAAATGCATAATTTAAACTAACTTGGATATTGGATATATAGAGTTTACACTTAACAGAAGATCTAAGAAAAATAGCAATCTTCAAAACTGGGATAGAGGCTGTATAAAAATATCAAAACCTTTTAAAACCCAAATTATCTATGCAAGTACGGGAACCTCAAACTTGCACGCAGAACAGTTAGGGGTCTAAGGTTAGGGGCCCAAGATTTTTCAAACATATTAAAGCAATTTTTTATAGTTTTACATTTGTCTGTACAGTTTGTAAAATGTAACTTCTTTACGTCTTACTTTACCCATCTAACTAGGATTGTTACTTATTCATTTTAGATTTCTGTTTAAAGGAATTGAGTCTTTGCCACAAACTCTGATTTTCTAATCCTTACATCTGTGCAACCCAATGTCGTGGATTGGTCGTGGATCATCCGGTTGCTAGACTAGGGGATAGAAATTTGAGTTTGTGACAATGACTAAATTCCTTTCATTCTAACTATGCATCATAGTCAAAGATTA